CGTCGTGTCACCTGCTGCATTTTTCGGGACAACTTAATTTTCTACATTTTCCCAATGAAGACGTCGTTTACTCGATCGATCGAAGTAGTTTTGCAGTCATAACATTCTTTCTTTATAGACAACAGGTGTAGATATTTTCATTGTTGCTCAAATTCTTATGTTGTTATGATCATACTTTGTTGCTTTAGGTTGTTTCACTAGTGTTTCTCACGCTTTTGACCGAACTTCTTGATTTCCACTCACTTGCTTGCTTATTTGTTCAGGTAATTCTAATACATTCCAACACTTGTTATTATCCAATGGTAATTTCCACGAAAGGTTTGGTAGTAGGGTGATTGGGAATGGCATAAGTTTCATTGCTAGTCAAGACGTTTTCTATTCCAAGCATGCGCGAGATAAAGGCCAAATGAATGGTGGGGCGAGTTCTTCTATCTTGATGTCAAATCAAATACGGCTCTCTACCTATTCTGTCAGGCCGCACGATTAAAGGTGGGTACCGAGCCCTCCAACTGAGAAGTCGCCTCTTATTCACTCATAGGAAGCGTAAGCCTAGGCTTTGACACTGCGCAAATCTCGTGACCAGACCCAATTTGGAAGGAATCCCTTGACCTTATGGTTGGAGCTACAGTCGAATGTTCGAGTCGCTAACAAGCCGTTCCAGTACTAATGAAATTTGGACTTCTGGCGCAGGCAGAGTCTTAAGGTGAAGTGTGCCGTCTGAGCAAGAGTGTAATTTTTGGCAATATGGGCGTTTCCAATAGGGAAATTAGGGAGATGTCATCTCCGCCTATAGGGAAGTCAACCTGTGGATAATCGCTGTTGGGCATAGTTGAATAGGCAGTCGAAGTTAAGGAGACATTCTTAATTAGGGAAAAACAGCGCAAGCGCTCAAATGTAGCCGAGGACTAGTGGGAATTGAGCTCAGCCGAAGCGCTCAAATGTGACCCAGGAATACTGGGAATTGGACTATCGCTCTTGAAGCGCATCACAAACTCTAAAATGCATTCCCTTAGTGAAGAATACCCGTTAACGAAGGCGCCTCGAGACGCGTCTAACAGCTTACAAATGCATTCTGGCCTGCATACAAGATCAATGCTGCGAGGATGTGAAGCGTTCGACGGTGGCGGGTGTGAGGAGGGACGTGGGCGAGAGTGCAGGACCAGCTACGAGTGTGCAGACGAGGGCCATTCAGTGCCGTCGCGACAGCCAGCTGGGCTTACTGGACAGACACGGAGGCACTTGCCCGAGGCTAGCCTCATCCATCACAACACAAATCCTATACTTTCCACTACTTTAGCTTAGGTAACCAGCCATAAATGATTTCTATACAAGCTTCATTGGCTTCGTCGTCATTTTTTCTGTGGCAATTTTCAAAGGTTCCACCGACATTGAACGTTCGATTCAATTTTTATTCGCCTGGATTGTCAAGCCTAGGTTTTAGAAATCTTTTTGTTGGACTTCCTTATGTGAAGTGTTCCAACAATATTTTTCTATTAGCTCTTGTTTAAAAGATTGAAAAATGTTCATTGCAAGCTGGAATCGCTTCCATTTCAAGGAGAAAGCCTATTGATCGTTTCTTGACTGTTTGTTCCATTTGATTGTTCCTTATCCTCACTTCTAACCTTTCTCCACCTTCTATCGAAGCAAGAAATGGGAGTGGCCATCACAACTCGGTACGACTGGAATATGCCGTGCACACGACTTTTTGCGCAATTGTGTAAACATTTGCATTCTCATTTTTGTATGCTATTCTTCTTCCTACTGGCTCATCTCGATTACACTCGCCCTTTCGATTACACAGTGTGTTCCATTTACATTCTCCTTTTTTGTTGTGCTTCTTTTTTCGATCCTTTTTTGCTCATTCACTCATGTCTTCACTTCTTTATATTTCGCTAGCTCTTTTATACGGTTATTTTTACCTCGATATTCTATGCGATTTTTTGAGGTTTTTTCAATCGTTTTAATGCTAGAACGCAGCCATACAACCGGTCCGGAGAAAATCTGAATCAGTGGGAAAACTGTTGAAATTTTGTTTGTCTTAAACCATTGCCGAGTGCCTACAAATGAAAGATCGCTCATTAACTCATAGAGGAACTTCGGAACGGACTCGAAAAATTTCAGTTTTCCACTCCAAAATCCATAAATGGGTTGGATTCAAAAGATTTGACACTACACGCGCTTCCTTTTGCATAAAAATGGCCCCTTGGTTCTGAAATGGCAAAATTTTGTGAACGGGACACTTCCATCTCGTAAACGATGTGCGCGACCGCGACCGCCATAATTACTGCAACTTCTTCCTAGTTAATATAGTATTGCTGGAAAATTGAAATTTCGCGAATAATAGAAAGTTGGGGCGTGGCCCGGCATTGGGTGGCATTGTTGCTAATATTTATTTCTGTTTATTTATGTATCTTTGTTCTTTGTTCTATGACAAAGCAAGCAGAATTATGTTGTTTTGGATGGCACCTTAGCCAAAAAACCTGTGAAAAAACAAACAAAATCTGAAAAACAAACTAGCACCTTTTTTAATGTCACTACGTGCACTCAAAACGTTTCCTCACTTTATATGCTAATGGCACAATCAAGAAGATTATAACAAAAAGCAGCGCAGTGCTGCTGGGTAACCACAAAATTCAATGGACGGGAAGTAATATGTTGATGTCATTCGCCCTTTCCATAGAAGTTGTTTCTTCTGATTGCTGCCCCCATTCCTTGCCGTAAAGCTCCTCCTAGGAGAGGATGGAAAGTCAGAATTGGTCTCACCTCAATAAAAACGCCCTTCTGTGGCGTCTTGCCATAAATTCCAGGGAATTTAGCGCTGGAGGCTGTCTGAAAAAGAGGGTATTGCCAAAGGGTTAGGGTCGAGACTTGTACATTGGAGGGCGGACAAATTTGATTTGGCAACTGACACAGACCTAGACGAGTAAAAAATGAACCCTATTCCATGAAAACCAGCCTGCTTTGACGCAGATGTTGATGCAAAATAATTTATTTATTCGGATTTTTTGTACTTTCAGAATTCGTTTTTTGGCGTAGTGCAAGTATTTTGGGGCTTTTGAGTAAGTGTGTTCAAAGGTTGAACCCTTCTCGGATTGCACCACGCATCCCATTTCATTACGAATTGTTATGACATTGAATGCCTGTACCCTTTATTCCAAAAAAAAAACCAGAAGAGCGTCGAGTGCAGACCACACAAACATAGGTGACGACGACCCAAAAAGTAAATCTGCAACTAGGGGTTCATAGGGATAGCGGATAGTTGATAAAAAATGCTTGAAATTAGGAATAATGGATAAAATAAAACTGCAATGACCTAATACTTCTACGGCAGGTACGTACAACTTATATGGAGACCGTCGTCACTTGTGGTGTGCGGTCTGCACTCAAGGCGTTTCTTGTTTCTGGGGTAGGGTACGTACAATGAATCTTAAATTATTTTTTGGGTATCACGCAGTGCATTTTTCCAAACATGTTTAGTGCCGCTTGGGTGCTTGCCGCTACACCAGTCTTCCGAAGGCAGCCTAGTTACTCAGAATTATCATGTGCCAAAATAATACTAAAAATAATAAACAACATACTATCAGCTTATTGGTAGTGTTTTGGTCAGGGAGATTGCATCGTTCTATAGCGTTTAAAAAATCTCATAACCGAGTTTCACTAATGTAAGAGGTAGGCCTAACCAATAGACGTGTTGCACTTCATGTGCATTCACCTTCGAACTTATATATGTCTAATATACAGGGGGGGGGGCAAAAAAAAAGACATTTTGCCTCCACTTCCAGATGGATTTAAGCACATTTTACTCAACTCAGACCGAACGGTTCCAACTTATTATTAAAGAGTGCATTCCATTCTATAAGAAAATCTTCATAGTGGCCACGTACGTGGACGGCATCAGAAGAATTAGCCCTGGAAACATGGTGCACTGGTCGATCTCAATGGGGTCTTCGAAGGATCGTGTACCATAACGACCCTTACTGGAAAGCTAGTTCCGAGGGGATTTGCACAGTGGTAGCTAATGCCTCTAGAAAACTATCCAACATTAAATCGATTCACGAAATTGCGTAAGAGCTTCAGGCTGAAGCTCTTACGGTAGACCTCCTTGAGCCTGACGACGGTGACAGATGACGTCATATTCTGAAGACGGTGAGGGCAGTGAAGGAGGGCCTGCGTACACTAATAGAGGAACACTTAGGGAATACTCTGCTGAGGAACTCCCGTCAACGACAGCAATCTCTGCGAAGAAAAAAGAGCCGAAGTCCGACATAGGCAAAATGTCTTTTTTTTTGCCCCCCCCTGTATACAGTGGGGGGGGGCAAAAAAAAAGTCACTTCTCTCCACATTCAAAACGCAATTAATCTCGAACTGCGAAACCAAATCAAATGAGCCCAATTGCATATTAAAGAGCACATTCAAGTCTATCAAAAGGTTACATGACAGCCTTCTACACTGACGACATCAGAAGATTTTCCACGGAAACATGGTTCACGGTACGAGCTCAACGACGTCGTCGAGGTACCATAGACCATTACGACGTCCCTGAAACGCCGGTCAAAAGCGGTCTTGCACAGTCACAGCTAGTGTCTCTGGGAAGCTATTCACCGCTTAACCGATTGAAGAAATTAGGTTGCAGCTTCAGGCCGGAGCGATTACGGTAAGCCCCGTTGAGCTTGACGGCGACGGCAGATGACGTCATATTCTGAAGACCGTGAGGGCATTGAAGTAGGGGCTGCTTCTGCTTATGGGGGACACCTAAGGAATATTCTGCCGTAAACATTCATTAGCTGCGGCATTCTGTGCGAAGAAAAATTTGATGATGTGCGCCATAGGCAAAGTGACTTTTTTTGCCCCCCCCCTGTATACAGTACCTTCACTTACTCGCTCAGTTTTGCTGTATTTGTTATAGACTTTGTGCAGCCCGAGAACAAGCGCTTAGCAATTACTTTTTTTCAGTCACCGCGCTGACCCTCCGACGGTGGCAAAGCTAGCGCTGTTCGCCGATGACTTTTCCATCGGTGCGCTATGCGGCTCTGCTGCAGGACGAGCAGGACAATAGCAACGAACAGTCGACAGAACAGGAAGGAAGCGGCTTTGAGTTTGGAGTACCGGAGGGGACGTTCGACAGCGTTTTCACATATGCCAGCTATAATGATCTGGACCATATGGGATATGAAGCACCGGCACGGTGAGTTTTGGA